TCATTAATTTATCTGATTTTAACTCTTCTCTTCTATCAAAATGGATGTGGAAGTTTCTCCAAGGAGAGTCTTTATTGGGAAAAGTTCTTAGCTCCCTCTACTCCTCATGTCCTCCTAACCCTAGTTGCGCACCACCAAGTCTCTCCGCCTCTAAATTTTGGTGAGATATTTTTTCTAGCAGTCTAGCTTTGAAGAGTTTAGTTTAATGAAAATTAGGTAATAGATCTTGCATAAGATTCTGGGAGGACAAGTGGACAGGACATAATTTATTAGCATCTCTATTTCCTCTGGCACACAATATATCCTTCTCTGTCATTGTCAATGTTAGACAACAAGGTCTCTTTCATAATGGCCAATGGAGATGGCACCCTATGATCAAAAAGTCTATTTCTATGCAAGAGACGAATGGGGTTTCTGGTTTAACTCATTTCCTTTCAGCTATCAACCCTTGATTAATAGTAGAAAATATGAGGTTTGGTGGCCTCATCACACATCTAGCTCCTTTACTGTTAAGTCTATCTATTCTACCCTTAATGGCGGTGGTCTTCTATACCAAGGGTTTAATTTCATATGGAAGTCAGCTAGTCCTATGAAAGTTAAAATTTTCTTATGGTTGTTATCTAAGAGGAAGCTTAACACTAAGATAACTCTGGCGAACAAGGGTTAGACAAAGATATACCATATGCTCTTTTTGCAATGAAAGGCTTGAAGATGATGAGCATCTTTTTCTCTAATGCAAGTTTGTGAAGACTCTTTGGTCCTTATTCATGCCTTTTCTTAAGATTACTAATCTTCCAAATGATTTTAGTCATATTGTAGATTCTTATGGCTACTTCAATTCTTGAAGGATAGAGAAAGTAGAATCTTGTGATCGCGTATCTTCCCCTCTTTAACCTGGTGTTTGTGAAGAGTGAGGAATAACCTAACAAGTCTGCTATCACCCCCAGTCATTTGGCGTCTAATTTCACCCACTTCATCTAATTATGGACAGAACACTTGCCATCCAAGAGAGCATATGTGGTCAAGGGTTTGGTTAACAAGAGAGAGATTGCTAAGCTGCTGATACATGATGAGTCCTCTTCCACTGATCTAGCAGCAGTTGAAGACAATTTCTAGTGCCCCTTCAGTCTTATGCTTTTGTTTTGGTTATACTTATATGGTTGTAATTATTTTTATTTATACTCCGGTTTTTTCTTGAATTTGGTTGTAAGTGAGAGCAGGTGGTAGCTCTATAACTCTGTATTATTTTGGCCTAGCTTGTTCTAGTGTGGTTTAGTTTATGTAGGCGTCTAAAATTGTCTACAAAAGCCCGCACAAAACTCGAAGCAATGAATGGGCGAGTCAAGAAG